AAAAAAAAAAAGTTTTTTATTTCTTTGTAAAATGAGAATGACACTATTACAAGGATTATAGTGCTGGTGCTGACTTACACACCAATTTGTAAGAGCCAATTGAAACTTTGCAAGTAGGTTACCAAACTATTATTAGCTTGAAATCTGCCATGGTGGGAGTATTTATACCAGAGAAATCAGTAAACACTACAAATCAGAGTGTCCTGGTGTTTTTTTTTTTTCTTCCTTTTTTTGGTTTTGTTTTCTGCAGAGCTGTTTTACCAGTATATTGCTGATTATGCATGCTGGTCTATGTAAGTTGTAAGACACTTTGTCTCATTTATCATTAGAAGTAGTAATTGTAACAGTAATGCTTTGTATCCACAGAACTTAGCTTAGTGCAAAGCACAGCTCCTAGAATCTATTTAATAAGTATATTTTTAATTTAACTTGGGTTCACCCTTGTATTATTTTGATACTTCTGCCCTGAGCTAAAGGAGCACTCCCATCCCATCCTCCCAAATCCCTCTCTACAAAGTGTCTTTTTAAAATCAGGTAACATAAATAAAAGCCTGGTACAGTGCATTAACACACACAATAGGACTTGAACCCTCCATGTCTGTAACTGAGCTAAATACCTTTTTTCCAAACCTTTCTTTCTTCTGATATTTCATATTTCAGTTAATGATATTGCCCATCTATCTATTATCCCAAGTAAGTTATCTGAAAGTCTTCTTCTCTTTTCCCTTTTCCTTACCCACACCCAGGTCCAATCAATCACTAGATCTTGCTTATTCTACCTCTTCAATCTTTCCCCTCCTCCTCATTACCACTGCTCCTGCCTTGGTTCAGGCCCTCATCATTCCCACTTGAACTCTTCCTCCTAAGTGACATCTTGACTTTCAGTGTTTCCCCTTCAATCCAACCTCTACTTCTATGGATGTAATTTTAAATTACAAATTTGAGGGGCACCTAGGGGGCTCAGTCAGTTAAGTGTCTGCCTTCAGCTCAGGTCATGATCCGGGGGTCCTGATCCGGGGATCAGCCCTGCATCGCATGGGGCTTCCTGCTCAGCAGGGAGTCTCTTCCTTCTGCCCCTTCCCCCGCGTGCATGCATGCTCTCTCAAAATCTTTTAAAAATAAATTAATTAATTAAAAATTTGGCCAAATCACTCCCTCGATTAAAATTTCTTAATGGCTTTCTATTGTCTTGAGGATAAAAATCCAAAAACTTTAGTTTGTCATCTGGGTCCACCACATTCTGACCTTTGGCTGCCTTTTATAAGAGTTATCTCCTGCTGCTCCCCAATACGTCCTGCAATGTCTAGCCTCGCTTTTACCTGGTTTACCCTCCAACCCAAACAACATTTCCTCTATGACTTCTCTGGACGTATTTGATGTTTATTTTTCTGAGTTCCTGTAGCACCTTGTTCATGTCTGTGTACCATATATCTAACCATGTGGCTCTTATTATCAATTGGTCTTTCCCTCTAGATTGTAAGTTCCTATAGAGTAGAAGCCTATGTACCATTCATTAATTCCTAACACATTGTGTAGCATATAATAGGAGCTCAGTACATATTTACATGAATGAATGAGACTTCAAAGGATAGGGTGTTTTCATTGGTTCATTCATACAAGCTACTCATAGGGTATGGCAATGAAAAAAAAAACGCTTAAAATTTGGATCTCAGTAATTCAGATGAGAAATTAATAACATAGGGGTAGTTTCTTTTTATCCATAACCCCCAATCTGGGATACTATACCCCCGTCACCTTCAGGATAAAATCCAAGCCTTTTAGCCTAGCATACAAATCTCCTTACAAAATGGTCCCTGACTTTTTTTTTTTTTTTTAAAGATTTTATTTATTTATTTGACAGAGAGAGACAGTGAGAGCAGGAACACAAGCAGGGGGAGTGGGAGAGCACCAAGAATTCTTACTGGTTCAAAGTCCCT